TATATATATATATATATATATATATATATATATATATATATATATATTTCAAAATAAATAAAAGAATTCTCAAAGTTGAGAGACATAAGCTCAATATCTGACAAAATTAATTACATATCAACAGATGAATGGATTATGAAAATCTGGCACAGAAATAAAATAGAATATTATTCAATTCTAAAGAAGAATGAAATAACAACACTGATTTCTTTCTTCTAAACTCAGTCTGCTTTCATTAAAGACTGGTACAAAAATCTTGCTTTTGACTCTATCTCAGTAGTATTCTCAGTAAAATTCTGTTAAAAGTCTACCTCATCATAGCTTCTTTACAGTCTCTATTTCTTTTTTTAATGCTTTGGATTTACTTTAATTTTCATGGAAAATATTAGGAATGAATTCCTGAGTTATAACTGATATGAATGCAGACTGGATGCAAAGTTATAACAGAATTTTATGTAACAGAATATTTTTCAAAGAAATGTTATTTTATTTAGTTACAATGCTGTCAGTTATGAAAAGGAACACAGTTTTTTTTTCTTTTTTTCTTTTTAGATCTTCACATTACTTAAAGAATAGCCTGGAAACCATGATCACTGGCATGTTAATCCCTGGGAGAAATTGCTGCCACTCAGTCGCTAGCATCTAAACTCCCTGCACATGCTCTGCCTTCCATAGTATTATGAAATTCTGACTATGAGCTGTTTGCTAAGAGGCAGGATATCAATTAATCCTACTTTCCAGCAATTTTCTTTAACTTCTTTCTTGTCTTGGAATTTCTCATGTGAAAATTCTTTTATTCATGTTTACAGGAAAACCTTTCTTGCAAATTGTCCTAGACAATAGCTTATTTTTGTACTAGTTCTTGTTCATTGACATATAGAAGCATAAGTCACTTATTAGCTATGTTGTAGGGAGGCAGAGGAAATACTTGCTTTAACAGTTATCTTTATTTTGTCAAGTGTTTTTTCATTTTTATTAATATAAATTAATTCTCAAGTCTTCTTTTACATTCAAAATTTAATTGTAGCTACAATAGTACAATTAGTTATACCACGCTTCTCAAATCTCATAACAAAATTCAAAAATTTGAGAGGAAATTTTGGATTAGCATTTTCCATTTCCTGAAGCAATTAGGAAATCATTATTGTTATTTGGCATCTTTGCTATGAAGAATATATTTTGTGCCTTATTTCACTTGTACAAGGCAAAGACATGAAGGAACATTTATTTTACTAACTAAATATTTTGCTTAGTAGTTTTGTTTGGAGAACTTAATGGTATAAAGCCTCTGACAGGTCTTACAATTGTGATATGTACACAAAATATTTAATAAATAAAGACAAGGTGTCTATCAGCACAGTTATATAGGTTGATATATATGAGGTCATGGACTACTCTAACGAGGGAGAGAATAACTCAAGAGATTGAAGTATTTTTACTGGGTAGATAGATATATAAATATTAAAGCAAAAGGCTTAAGGAAAAATCAAAACCACTTTGAGATACCATCTTACACCTGTCAGAATGGCTAAGATCAAAAACACTAATGATAGTTTATACTGGAGAGGATATGGAGTAAGGGGAACACTCATCCATTGTTGGTGGGATTTCAAACTTGTACAACCACTTTGGAAATATGTGTGGAGGTTTCTCAGAAAATTGGGAGTCAATCTACCTCAGGATCCAGCAATACCACTTTTGGGAATATACCCAAAAGATGCCCAGTCATACTACAAAAGCATTTGTTCACAGCAGCATTATTTGTAATAGCCAGAACTTGGAAAAAATATCATAATTGCAGTTGTGTGCCTACTCTTCTGTCATTCAACCTTGAATTTTCAGGAGGCAGTTGTTTAACAAGACCGAGGAAAGGGGAGGATGGAACCAGGTCCTTGTCTTGCCACTGTCCTCACTCTGTATTGATGCTTACTCTGAAGGGCACGATGAGCTTCCTGAGTTACTTTCCTTCTTCCTACAGCTGTATCAGTAACTGTCAGATGCTGGAACAAGGGAGAATAAGCCTGAATTCTCCGTGGATGCTGAGCTTAACTGCATGTTGTCATGTTCCCTATATGCTATCTACTTCCAAGAGCTTTTGATTAAGATCCTACGTTTATAATATACTAAGCACAATTCAAAGACTAGGGAATCTTGACCACAAAATCTAAAATGATTCCTGAATGTTGAGCGGGTGAGTTTGATTACCTTTAAGGTACTGTCACATTGCAAAAATGTGTGGTCTTTGAAGTCATATATATTAGAGCTGACATTGTAGCTTTAGCTCTTAAATTTTCATGGTCTTGAGAAAGTTTCTTTGTTCTTGCAGTTCATGGGTACCCCATCTGCAGGTAGAGAGAAAAATAAAAATGTCCCTTGAAATAAACTCCAAATAAGCCAGGTGGTGGTGGTACATACTTTTAATCCCAGCACTCGAGAGGCAGAGATAGGTGGATCTCTGTGAGTTTGAGGACAGCCTGGGCTACAAGAGCTAGTTTCAGGACAGGCTCCAAAACTACAAAGAAACCCTGTCTTGAAAAACAAACAAACAAGCAAAAAACTCCTGAATATAGTGGTAATATAGATAACGCAACCACAAAACTACCTTTAGAAAATGGAATTGAGAACAGATTATAGTTATAGTATGAGTCAGGATTCTTTAGAAGATGAGAACAGATAGAATGAATTAATTCTAAAATAGGTTTTATTAGGTTGACTTACATGGTACATTTTCTGTAGTTCAAGAATGCCAGATTCACAATAGAAGGGTGAAGAATTCTGCAGATGCTCAGTCCATGAATTTGGAGGTCCCAGCAGTTCCGATCTGGCTCTGTAGGCCTGGAAGGTTATTAAAGAGCTGCTGGTCTTCAGTCTGCATCGGAAGCCTGAAGAGTCTAGTTCTAGCATCAGTGAGGGAATGTAGCTTTTGGAGCAAGAGAGTAAATAAACTTGCTAGGAAGAGTGAAGACAAGCAGGCAGAAATCAATTATTCTATTCTTGTCTCGGTGTCTTTTCATCTGGACTGCCATCAGAAGGTATTGTACACATTAACTGTTGATCTTTCTATTTCAAATAATGTGATCAAGAAAATCCTTCAAAGGTGTGCTTGTCAGTTGTCCATTTAGGTGACACCAGGTCCAGTCAAGTTGGCGAGCAATAGTATCAATAAAGATTACCATTTTCACCCTAATAAGCATTCAATTATTCTTCTTCATAAATAAACATGAAGACATCTTTGAATTTTCAAGACCTTATTCATATTTACAACCCATTTGATTATATATTGTATTGTAATTGTATATTAACTTGTCATTCTACAACCTATTTTCTTTTGCTATAAAAATTAGCAAAGAGAGTGGCTTGTTTAGCTGAGGCTATTTCTATAGAAGAACAGTACAGTTAAAGTGATAAAGTGCTGTGTGCATGAAGTGTTTAGCTTAACAGTCAAGGCACATTTATCTAAAGATTATATCAGTCACTCATCCTGGAAGCCATCACAATTCCTCCTACCTTATGGTAAATTACAGTAAGCAGAATCTTGATGTATTTGTTACCTTATTATCTAAAAAACATCTGTTCTTGTGTTTGTTCTATAAGTAAAGTACTTCACCAATGGAAATACCAAAACCTTGCCAATTATCTCAGTCAGACCTCATAAAATCCCATTAGGAAATTACTTTTAATTTTCTTCTTAAACTAAAGCAACCAGTATATAAGATTTTTACAAAATGTTCTATCTATTGAATAGTGAATTCAAATTCTGAGATATGGGTGGTTTCAAAGGCCTCCAAATCTCATGTTTGTTATTTCATCTTGTGAGTCTGGTCTTAGGTATCGCTACCTGGAATGGGAACAGATAATATAATGACTTTATAAGTGATGTTGGACAAGCCTCATTGGAGTTTAATTTAATCATGATAAAATTTAGCCTCTTCTCTTAAAAAATCAGGTGATAGATGGCAAAAGTTTGGACCTTTTATATTTGCTTTAAGAATTAGTAAAAGATATACAGTCAATGCAATTATTTACAGAAACACTAAAACAAGCAAGAGTTTGAACAACATTTGCATACCCTTGAGCTTAGGTGTCAGAAATACTTGAAAATGTCACCTCTCTAGTTTGATTTTATTAATGAAGAGTTTGTTAAGGTGATGCTGAGGCAGATCAAAGAGAGGACATGTGACTCAGTGGATACTCAGCAGTTTCTTTTTTGAGTGGTTGCCGTTGTTGTTTTCCTGACAGGCAAGGGGCACAGCCACGGGTTCAGGTTGGAGGCCTGGGTTGCCAGCTGGTGACTCTCAGGAGCCTCTACACACCAATCTTTTCAAAGCCTGCTTGACCTCCTTGTTCCTCAGTGTGTAAATGAAAGGATTGAGCATTGGTGTGATTATTGTGTAGAAGACAGCAGGGGCTCCAGCCCCTGCGCCAGTGGAGCTTGGCTGCAGGTAGATACAGACAGGGGGCATGTAGTATAGGAGCACCACTGTGAGATGCGCTGTGCAAGTGGAGAAGGCTCGCTGCCTTCCCTCTGCTGTGCGGATGCGTAGCACTGCAGCCACAATGAAGACATAGGAGATGATGATGAGGATGAGGCAGCCTGCAGCTACGACGCCAATGTTTGCCAGCATGACAAGCTCATTAATGGAGGTGTCTGCGCAGGCCAGCTTCAATACTGGAGGGATATCACAGAAGAAGTAGGCGATATGATGAGGTCCACAATATAGCAGGTGGAAGGTGAGGGAAGTGTGAATCGCAGAGTGCACAGAACCTATGGCCCATGTGCTCCCAGCCAGCCCTACACACACCCGTCTGTTCATGGCCACTGGATAGTGCAGGGGTTGACAGATAGCCAGGTAGCGGTCATAGGCCATGACTGTGTACAGAAAGCACTCAGTGCTGGCCAGGAAATGGAAACAATAAAGTTGTATAGCACAGCCATGAAAGGA